ATATATATATATATATATATATATATATATATATATATATATATATATATATATATATATATATATATATATATATATATTATATTTATATTTATATGTATATATATGTATATATATGTATATATATATACATATATATATATATACATATATACATATATATATACATATATATATATACATATATATATATAAGACTAGTTCAACCTTTTTTTTATTTTGACTCACTCAGATTAAATTTTATTCTCCTGACTATGGTAATATGTCAGAATTCAAATATTGACAAGTTTGATCAAATTAATGAGGGTTATCATATATACACCAATTCAACCTTACATGACTTTTTTAATTTTAAGTATCTTTTAGTTCATCTCTTTTCATCTCACAATATTAATATTTTTAACATAAAAATAATTTTTTTTGAATGTCAATCCCAAAAAGGCATACTTCGTAGAAATATTTAGAAACAAAAGGATATTTAGCTACAGTAAAGATTTTTTCTTTGGTGAAATTAGTTTTCGTTCAAAAATTTTATTCTTTTGTAACAAATAAAAAACATTTTTTTTAAATAATCAGAATTCACAAATCCATATAATTTTGAAATTTTAAAATAAATAGTTTATATTAATTAATGTACAAAATTCCTCCATATCAATATGACAATATGCAAGGGGTAATGTTTGTGGACCCTCCGCAAGGGAGTGGTACCATAGTAGGCCTGCTTTGAATAAGAAACAATTAACCTTATCTAATATTATCTTACCACATTGATAGGTTTGTCGTCTTCGCATAAGTTATGCAATCCAATGTGCACAAGCTTAGCTTTATAGAGGCATAGTATTGCTTCTCGTCCTATATTCCTCAACTACCTGCTTCTCTTTTCTTTCTTTTCTTTTTTCTAATCCCTCTTATGATATTATAATAAATCTAATATTTAATTTAAAATTTTTGAAACGTTGATTGAGTTTGTTTATTAAGACAAAATAAATTTATTGTCTAACACAACTTGTTGTATCTTTCTCTTCCATTATCGGATGATGTTTCTTTAATTAGTTTCTATGACATCCTTTTTTTTTTTTTTCTTTTTAACAAAATATTCCTCTGCACCACCTTCGCTCTAACAAATTGATGCCAAATTAAAATATTCCTCTCAACTACTAACAAATTGTTGTCAACATCGTCACCATCCTGCTCTCAACTAGTTGCCTCCTCCGTCTTCGTCACCATTGTCCCGCCTCTTTTCACTAGCAACAACGAGCTCTTCCTCCTCACCATTGTCGCCCCTTCCACCTTCAATAGCCAATGGAGAGCGAAGTGGTGGTGACAATATGACAGTAGTGGCACAAAAGAGCAAAATGAAGGTCATGACAAAAATGGAGTAGACAATTAGTCGAGAACGGTGTGGTGGAGATCATGTTGAGAGTTATGGGAGAGTGAAATATTACAAAGGAGACAACAATAATGTGTTAACGATCGACGGTGATCAAGGGTGGGTACGATGGTGGAGGAATATTTTTATCAAGGTGATAAAAAAGGAATACATCATTGGATAAAAGTTTAACAGTAATATTTTTTTTTATAAAATATCAAATTTCTTTCAAACACACATTTTCTAGCAAAGAAATCCTTTATTGATAAGTGTAATATATATATATATATATATATATATATATATATATATATATATATATATATATATATATATATATATTAATTAATGTACAAAATTCTTCCATATCAATATGACAATATGCAAGGGGTAATGTTTGTCGACCCTCCACAAGGGAGTGGTGTACAAGCTTAGCTTAGCTTGTAGTCTTGCATTGACAGATTTGTAGTCTTGAATAAGAAACAAATGTGTACAAGTTTGCATAATTGGCCTGCTTTGAATAAGAATCAAAATGTGTACAAGCTTGTAGCCTTGCATTGACAGATTTGTAGTCTTGAATAAGAATCAATATGAAATAGTTGGCCTGCTTTGAATAAGAAACAATTAACCTTATCTAATACTATCTTACCACATTGACAGATTTGTAGTCTTGCACAAGTTGTGCAATCCAATGTGTACAAGCTTAGCTTTATCGAGGCATAGTATTGCTTCTCGTTCTATATTCCTCAGCTACCTGTTTCTTTTTTTTTTCTATACTTTTTTTTAATCCCTGTTATGATATTATAATAAATCGAATATTTAATTTAAAATTTTTGAAACATTGATTGAGTTTGTTTATTAAGATAAAATAAATTTATTATCTAACACAACTCTGTTCTATATTTCTCTTCCATTTTCTTATGTAGTGATTTGCTTTTGATATTTTATCTAAAATAATATTTATTATTGGGCTTATATCCGATGATGTTTCTTTAATTAGTTTCTATGACATCCCTTTTTTTATCTTTTTAACGAAAATATTCCTCCACACCACTTTTGCTCTCAACTATTAACAAATTGTTGCCAAACACCATCACCACCTTGCTTTCAACTAGCTACCTCCTCTATCTTCGTCACTATTGTCTCGCCTCTTCTCACTAGTAATAGCGAGCTCTTCCTCCTCACTATTGTCATCAATTCCACCTTGAATGGCCAATGGAGAGCGACTTGGTGGTAACAATTTAATAGTAATTGCACAAAGGAGCAAAATAAAGGTTATGGCAAAAATGGAGTAGACGACTAGTGTGTTAATGATAGAGGGTGGGCATTGTGGTGACCTAGTACTTTTACCAAGGTGATTAAAAAAGAATACATCATTATTGGATAAAAGTTTAACAGTAATTTTTTTTATAAAATATCAAATTTCTTTCAAACACACATTTTCTAGCAAAGAAATCCTTTATTGATAAGTGTAACATATTATTAATATATTATCGATAAGTGTAATATATATATATAGTGGTCATCATAAAGGTTTTTTTAGTTTGTAGGAGGAGCTTTGGATATGGCGACATACATCCTAGTGAACTCCTCTAACCTCTCAAGCTTTCACATCACCACCTTCGTTGCCTTGTGGGCATAGAACCTATCCATCCACCCCACAAGTAGAGGCATCTTCTCCTCATCAATAAACTTTGTTTGTACCTTGTGATACCTTGATGCCATCAACCAATGGCCGATATGACTCGAT